GAGGGCAGTGTCACTGGCCCTCATATGTGGGATCCGAACCGGGGCCCTCTGGCATCCCAAGCGAGTTCTTAACCATCGCGCCACTCGGCCGGCCCCCAAGCCAGCTCTTAACCAACGGGCACCACTCGGCCGGCCCCTCCTAAAAGCTTTAATAGTTTGCCCTCCAGGTTTTTCAGGGTTCATGTGAGAAGGAAGAGTGAACCAGAAAGAAGAAAACTTAACCCTTGTCTTCATCTTTTCTATCAAGGTTCTGCATTACTGCTAAACCCTACTACTGTCTCTTTGTGACATGGTTTTGATAAGTATTACAGAGCTTCCCTTAGCGTGTGTGTTGTGAGGGAGGTGGAATAAATATACTGGTCAGTTCTCTCTGAATAATCATCCCCCCAGTAATTTTGTTCCTTTTGACCCAATGGCTTCAACAGCTAAGCCAGCACTGTAATGGGTGTTGTCAACCAACTCAGAAACATCAGAGGTTTGCATAGAATTTCTGCTTGTAATTTTGAAAAACAACTTTTTCAGTCTTTACGATCCAGCTGGGACTAGTGAGTTGGCCATTTCAACCACCTAAGATTTTTTTTTTAACCTAACTGTGTTAGAGCTGACTATGCTTTAATACCCAACAAGGCACTTTAGGCCCGGGAGGTATTGAGGTATTGAGTTACTGTGCTAGGTGCTTCAAACCCCCCACTTTGCCCAAAAAAAGATTTTTATGAATATCTGAGCGTTGCTCCCAGAGTCACTAAAATGAATTGGGAAATTGCTTCATTTTAAGTTTACCCCACAAGGCCTTACATTATTAAAGGACTTCAGTGTATTTCTCATCTCAAATTACGTAAGCATAATCCTATTATTCTACTAAACTTATCACATAGGATTATAAGACGTTTCTTAGACACCAATATGTAATGCAAGCACTTATAAAACTTTGTTTGTAGGGCCAACCGAGTGGCTCAGTTGGTTAAGAGCTCGCTCAAGAGTTTGAGCTCTGAGCAACAAGGTCCCTGGTTTGATTCACGGCCCGAGTTGAGCTGCCGCTGAGCTGCTAACAGGTGGCAGTATGGCTCAGCTGAAAAAAAACAAACAACTTTGCTTGTAAAACCTTTGGTCAAATTTTCTTACAAGAGAACTAAATAATTTTTTGTTGTTCCATGGCATTAATTAGTAGATGTTAAACTCTTAAATCATAGACAACAAAGTATCTCTCTTTCATCTATATTATTCTGTACCATCTCAGATGTAGAAATCTTGTTCAGTTTAATCGGACCCTGGATCTGTTCAACAGCTGTATAGCCTGGGAGTCTTCTACTAGAATTCATGTTTTTTAGCACTTCCAAAGTTACAATAAATAGCTCCACTCCCAAACCCAGTGTATTTCATGCTCCAATGTTCCAGGGAAATATCAAGATACACAAAAATACCATAGAACTACAGCCCCAAAGTTAGAATAGTCAAATGCCTGACCTATTTATGACATTTGTAGTGACTTATAAACCAGACCATAATCTCAGCATTGTCTGTGCAAAATTAAATTGGTGTTCCAGAATTTTTTATGTAGTTTATATTCTAGATATACAGTTGTCTTGCTAGTCATAGGTAATGGCAGAAACTTATTGGGAAGGAGCTGATAGAAAAAAGAAAAACATGAGATGTTTCATGGTTTTCACTTTTTTAAGGTATCGGTCAGTTCATAACAATAGATCAGAATTGTCATTTGTAAACTTAAAACTCAGTAAAAAAGCCTACCGTCATGAAGATTGTTTCTTTTCTAGAAGAATAGCTTCTGAAAATTCCACAGCAATGAGCAAATTTTAGATCATAGTGGTCTCTCCTCTTAAGTCGCCAAGTTTTTTTCTGATGTTTCTTCTTGCCTTTTTGGTGTGATTATGCATATTTAAAATACCTTTATTTTCTTTTTAGAATGTCTGATATAATACCTTATATTCTATTCTCTCCAGCTCTTATTTTTGGCTCTCCAGTTTATTGTGGGTTTAGAATTTATTTTGGGTTTTGACCAAGCACTATGGCTTTATTGAAATAAATCTCTGGTCTTTCTGTATTTTTCTATCCTAGCAGGATCCCAGGGGTGTCTTATGCTATTAATCCTATCAATTTTGGAATTACTAGTCATATCTCCTCACTTCTGAATTAATCTCCATTAACTGAAAGGTCGGCATGAAAAGATTTCCAAATTGGAGTTGCTTTCAAAAGTATTTCCTGAGGCCAAATGAGAAGCAGAATGTCTCCCCTCCCCCTTAATCATCTTTCATTGCTGATGAAATCCCCTCAAAAGATACCTGAACCAAAACTTTTACTAGGGATGTTTTCAAACCTGTGTTTTTAGGAGGTTAATAAGGTAAGGTGCCGTTCATCACTTACTGCAACCTAAGCTTTTGAATTAATAATCTTCTTTTTTAAACCATCTTTTTGTACTGTAACAAGGCCCTGATACATTTTTTCTGGGTTTCCCATTTACGTAGTGGACCATGTCCCAGACACTATACTAAGTCCTAGGAGATATAATGGTGAGCAAAACAGATGAAGACCCAGCCTTTTTGGAGCTTATTGGCATTTAGAGGGAAAAGACATAATTGTATAATAAGTATAATTATAAAATAAGTGCTGGGAAAGGAAAGTATAGGGAAATGATGAGTGTATAAAGCAGGAGAACCAGGTCTTGTTTGAGATACTGGATTTGGAAATAGTGATGGTCAGGGAGGGCTTCCCTGAAGAAATGAACTAAGATTTGAAAGATAATATAAGAGTAAAATGGGACAAGAGGGTGAGTAGATAGCTGATTGTAGATAAAGGGAATATTACGCATATGTCATTTGAGGCCAGAATAGCTGACAGGGAGAGTGGCATTAGATGAGGCTAGAGCAGATGGCCTTGGCCAGATAATGCAGAGCCTTGTAGGCTATTTAAGGATGTTGGTCTTTATTCTAAGAAAGCCATAAATTATTTTAAATAAATATATCACGTTAATGGCACTTCCCTACCCTTCTCTTTTGTAGATTTAGCTGCATTTTAAAAACTTCAGTCAGCTTAAGTTGATTATATGTTTTTTTCTACCATTAATAAGATCCGATGTTTTCCTTCCTCTTTTTAACAATCCTATCTTGACTGTATATTTTAAAGTTGTTTTCAAATTAGCATCTTTTCATGCTTGAGTTTTAGTTGTTCCTTTTTCAGAACCTGGGCCATAAATTTCTTTTTACATACTTACTCCTGAAGGTGTCTTATCAGTCATCTCTAAGCATACCTGATTTCTTAAAATCTAAGTGTTTAAAAACAAATTTGTAAAATGTTCCTTGTATAATCTTGGGGTTGACAATAATTCCTGTATGTTTTGGCTACAATACTTCTGCAAGGTGATTCATTTATATGTAATGGATCCCCTCCCTTCATTTAACTTTTGTCTTCTCACTACAAAGGGTTCCCATCCTTGTGTCTGAACCTCAAAAGAGACACCAAATTCCAGAATAATGGGCTTGGTGTAGTCACCAGTTCCTCAGCTTTAAACATCATAGCATTAAATGTATAAGAAAAGTTGGCTAACTAACATCTAACAATGTAGAAGCCAGATAGCTTATAAAACTTGTCCTGTTTTGAGGTAATACAGTCTTGACCCTAGAAATCAAGCCTTATACCTGCCACTATCAGATTAATGTGTTCAGACTAGAGGTACTAACTTTGGTCTTTTTCCAGCATAAAAACTTTGGTCCTTCTGTGGAATCTGACTATTGTTCAAATTTGAGTTTCCTACATGAATCTCATCTCAAAATCTTAATCCCTTATGAATTTAAATTTACTTAACCTTTTTCTACAGACTGCTTTAGAATTGTCAGATGTTTGTGCTTGGAATCTTATCCTAGAATTTCAAATTCCCCATCTATTGTAGTTTCCTATTGCCACATTGCTTGCTTCCTGAGAAGATACTGATAGGAATCCATCACAAAGATGAACCAAATCCTTATGTGATATACTGATCATGTAAGCTAGATCCTGTGCAGCCAAAAACCAAATAGGCCTGACCAATCCTACATGTTTCTTTTCCTTCCCTTCTTCTGATCCAGCTTAACCAGTTAAGATGTGGATACAGTAGCCACAAGAGGGAAGAGGGTAAATCAAGAAGGGGAAGAAAACTGGCCTTTTTCCTAGGATGAAAGCACCTGTGGAAGGGATCTACTAGGCCTCATTGTTACATTGTATTCTAGGTACATATCAGAATGTTTACTTTTGGGGGGGAGGAGGAGGAGAAAATGTGCATAGCAAATTACATTCCCAGAGTTTTTTAAGTTGGTTCATTGAAATTTGGAATTTCTTCTCAAAGAAACAATGTTATAATCATGGCTGAATGTGCTTGCTATCTGATTTAACTTATAATATACCATTTAAAACTGTTTCATACCTTCTGTGGTAAAGGACCTTTGTGTTTGTTTTTAATTTCAAATCTTTTGGTAAAGCCTTGTTCTCCATTTTCTTACCTTGTAGAATAAGTTTTCCCAATGAACTCAGTTTGCAGACCACATTTTGAGTAACACTAAAATATTTTCTGGGGTAGATCAATGCAAGATGTGACTGGCATTGCAAAGTTAGAAGTTAGAACCACATTTCCTATAAAAACAATGTAAATAATACTGTAAGTACTACCTGACTTTAAAAATCTCATTACTTGAGGGGGACATTATTATCCTTATGGAAAGCATTTGTTGAGTGCCTTTCTATAAGACACTGCTAGGTGCTTAGGGACACCAGTATAATAAAATAATTGTTAAAGAGAACCTATGTGAAAAAATAGTGACAAAAAATGGTAAATACAAGTGCTTATAAAAGAAATTGAGCTCTAATCATTAAGTTCTGGGATGGTTGGGAATGATTTTTTGTAGACGAGGGTACTTGATGGGTTTTATGCAAGCCTTACAATCCCGAGAGGTCATTTTCTCATTTTATAGATATCAGGTCACATCTAATAACTGGAACCAGAATTCAAACTTTGATTTTCTGTCTATTTTATCATTCAAATCTATTTTCCTATATAGGCTTTAGTAGAGCTAAAAAGAAATGGGAGCCATATTATAGACAGCAGTTAGACAAAAGATTAGGCATTTGGGGATCCATTAGAAAATTTGGAGAAAGGGATGATACATACAAAATGTTGTTTTTAAGAAAATTAACCTGGCCTTAGTGTATAGGTTTAACTGAAGCAACTAAGAATGGGATAGCTTGGTTGTGACAAATGCATTATCTTCTAACGTGGAAATTATAGATTACTCTTGTCTTTCAGTGATGTTTTGGAGTTTTGCTAATTCTGCTTTGTAAGGTGACATTTATGGAACTGATTTTATAGGAAAATGCTAGCTATCTTTTAGTAAAATGGCATGTAGATTTTGTAAATGGCAGATATACTTTTAAAAAAATCAACTTCGGATATAATTAAAATTCAATAAAATGCATTCATCTTAAGTATATATTGGGTTGTTGGAAAAATTATGATGCATTTTGTAACGGAAAACAGAAAAAATACATCATGACTTTTCCAACAACCCAATAGTTTGAGTTTTGACAAATGTATATGTACACTTTAACATTTCCATTGCCTTGAAAAATTCCTTTGGGCTTCTTTACAGTCAACCCCCTTAATTTTTTTTTTTTTTGAGGTATGAATTGTATTCGGTAAAATTCACTCTTTTTGGTATTTAATTCAGAGTTTTGAGAAATGCATAGTCAAGTAACAACCATTGCAGTCAAGATGAAGAACCTTAAAAATTCCCTCATGCCTCTTTTATGGTCAACCCTCCTCTTCCCCACTCGCGATGTGCTTTTAAAATGTATCTGATTTATTTCAGAAAGTGAGTAATACACATGAATTACCTGTTTTCAAGAATCCCATTGTATACCATTTTAATTTTGTTATACTTAAGTTGTAGTTGTTATTCTTAGTTTTTCCCTCATATGTATGCTTTCTGACTCTGCTTGGACCCTTAGATCTCTACTCTTCCATAGTCATTTTGTCCTCTAATGATATCCTAGCATACTTTTCTTAGTACTGTTCTAAAAATGCCCTTTGAGGCCCCCGTTTTATAGTTTTTTAGCAAACTTGCATGGTTTACCTCACTTGAGAACATAGAGGCATCCTCACATCTTATGTTGAAATATCTTACTCACCTCTTCTCTAAGAAAAAGAGGAGCCCTGGGCAAAGTTTAAAAGGCTAACCTCTTTATAATATATCCTCATTTCCAATCATTCCTTCTCCTTAATACTTGCCTCAGTGTCTTTATATAACTCTTCCCCTCTGATTATAAGAATGCTATTTTAAATTGTTGCCATTTTTAAAAAAAAAACAAAAATATACCCATATGGATCCTTATTGCCCTTTATTTACTTTCATTCTTTACACTAGTAAATTTCTTGAGTAAGGGATCAGTACTGCTTCCCTTTCCCCAACATCTGTTCTCTATAGCCCTCTATAATCTGGTGTCTATCATACAACAGAAACTATGTTCTGGAAAGCTATGAATGGCTCCTGATCAACAAAGAGATTGCTCTCTTTTGCAGTTTAAATGTACTACAAAAGCCTGTTGATGTTTCTGTTTATTCTATCCTATCTTAATAGTTTTTCCATGTTACTAGATACTTTCAAAACAAAAAAGATCACTAAAATTTATACTTCCTTTTCCTTTTCCATTGCTTCTAAAACTAAAAGTGAAAATGAAATGTCGAAACAGTAAATTAATAAATCTATAGCAGATTTGTAATTGTGTATTTCACCCCTGATTGAAATAGAAAGTGATGGTTCTGCATCATTTGTTAGAAGGTTGAATTTTCATAGCTTTAAAATATTCAAACACTTTTTTATGGATTCAGCTACTCTTATCAAAAATTTTTTTGAGGGGCGGGAAGGGAAACTTGTCCCTGTTTTATTGTTACAACACTAAACCACAGTAAATTATCTTATTTTCATTCATTGGTCAGTTTTTATCTGCCTGCATTCTTTAATGTTTTTATTTTTGTGTTGTGGTTTGTTGTTTTTTTAATGTATAGACACACTGTTTTGGATGTCATACTTAACAGGAAAAGCATGGAGTCATAGGCTCAATAGAGTTAATAATAAGAAAATCAAATATTTATGTTACCTAAAGTAGCTTTGATCTCAATGTTACATTTTAAAGTCTAGGCTATTTTTATTATAGAGCATTAAAGTGATAAAACGTTTTATTTGTTTTGTTTAGCTTGTCAGCTCATCTGCAGCTTACCTTTACTGGTTTCTTCCACAAAAATGGTATGTACTTGAAAGTAAACATTTTGGCATTCTAACAACAAAACATCTTTGTGAATGTAAAAAGAAAAATTATTTTTAGTGTGTAAATTTATAAAATTATATTTGTTGAAAAAAAAGATATTGATTCTGCTAATTAAACTTCCTGTTAGTTGACCTCTCCAGCGATTTCTGTTATTGTTCTATGTGGTCAGCGATGGGATGTGCAGAATGTAACTTGCAACTCATTAAAAGTAGTGGTTTTAAAATTTTAGTCTGTAGAATCATTTTGACGCTTTGTTTAAAATACATATACCTGGACCCTACAAAGACTTAGGTCTAATAGCATTTTGGTGGATCTTAGGAGTCTGCATTTTAATAAAGCACCAAGATAACTTAGAAATAGGTTGTCTAAGGAACAAATTTTAAGAAACTCTGCTTTAAAAGTTTTTAAAAATTGTAGGAAGACTTGATATGTAACATCTTGTTCATAGCTTGGTCTCCTTATTTCTTGCCTGTTGTCCACTTATGTTTTAAGTAGATTATTGAAACTGTTAATTAGTGTTCTGATCATTCTTGAAGGTAAATGTTAATTTCATCTGGCTCTAAATATCTAGAGGAAATGCCAGCTCTTCTCTCTAAACCATACTTTTTTTGGCTATAATTACTGTTATAAAAAAAAATCTATAAAATATTATCCTACCCAACTCAGAACTATCATCTTTCCAGAGATCATAAGTAGAAAATAACAGAAAAATATTTTCTTTTTTTTTTTAAAGTATGTCAAGTTAGTCATTGTTGGTATTTAGGAAGAAACACAGTTTAATAATGAAAGTGTTATATTAGAACAGTTTGATAAATTAGTCAGGCTTTTTTGGTAAGAAATTTGACCTCTAGTCATATCTCTGTTAGCAACTAGTGTAACTTTACTTCTTGTTTTGCCTTAGATCAGGTCTATTTTTTTATATAGAAATAATTTGAGTAGCATTTTAATCTTTTTTCTAAATCATTTATGATCATCTCATAGAGTCCATATTTCTAGTCATTCATCATTATCTGGTTTTCTGTGGTACTTCTAAAGTACATGGACTGTAATACTTTAGAAGCTTATTTGAATTTGATAGATTCATTACTCCTTTGTTCTCAGGGACTTATGTAAAACAAATTATCTATCACTGAAATTAGTAATGGATATTAATTGAACAATATTTATTAAATAATTGAATTTTACTTGAATTAATAATTGAAATTAATTGGAAAGTATTTTGATTAAACTTTTTTCCTATCTGCATGATGAAATATGTAAAGTTCAAAAATTGCTTGAATTCACTTGCAGCTTTTATTTTTTCTTGATATTACTGAAGTAAATGAAAAAGTAAACTGTTGACACTTATGTTTCCAGAAAATAATTTCTTACTATAATCAAACTAGTAGAAGTTTGGAAGAAGCAGATGTATTGCCTGTCTTATGTATTCAAGGTATAGTTGTAGGTTTTGTTTTTTTAAGAAATAATATTTTTTAGAAAACCAGCATCAAGATCTCTAAAACCTGATTATTTTTCTTTTGTTTTTAAATGAAGACTTGTTTAGCAATTACTACTTGAAACTGCTTAGAATGAATACACAAAGATTAGGGTACTATTTTCATGGTGACTATTGTTCAGAGTGTTTTTGTTACTGCGTTGAAGACATTGGATTATTTTTTGCTATATTAAAAAGTGTTTTCCTAGATATAACTTTCAAAGAGACTAAATTCAAATGCATTTTATGCATACACCCTGCTTAAGAAGAATTTTTAAGTGGAAATAAGTGTTGTCCAAAATCTCTGAACAAAAATTATTTTATTTCTGTATATGTTTATGGATTCATTTATAGTACTTCTATATATTATTCAAACTTAATGATGAGTGAATACATATTTAAAGTTTTGAGCTATTAATGCCTTTGGAATTTCAAGATAATTAAGTTATGGAGAAGTATTTTGGAACCTTAATTTGCAGAAGTGTTTGTTAATTAATGTAGAGAATATAGACTTATTTAAAATTAAATACCTACACTTTGTAAACCAAGAGATTCCTTTAGGTAGTAAATAATACCTTAATTTTTGCTATCTCATATAGGCTTTAGAGATATTCTGGAGAAAAGGACAAAAAATACCGTATTTGCCGGCGTATAAGACGGTTTTTTGGCCCTGAAAAATATGCCTCCAAGTGGGGGGTCGTCTTATACGCAGGTACACTTCAGATAGACTGCCCATAGTGCTTGCCCCGTGCCATAGTGGCCTCCCGATGCCCGCCCACTTCATTCCACATACCGTTCAGGCATCAGCAGCGCTGCTGGGTGTATGTATGCTCGGCTGTGTGCGATTTTGCGAGTGTGGTAAATTCAGGTTACCGTATATTTCTTTACATATGCATTGAAGATTCGCGATTTTGCGCTATCATGGTGCCTGTTAGAATGTTGAAGAGCTCGCACTTGCGCACTAGTGAGGTCCTAGGGAGATGCTGATGCAAGGGTGGACCAGACTGCTATAGTGACAGGGCGGGCAAACAGGGAGCAGGGACCAATCAAATCAGGCTTTGTATACAGCCAACAGCCAACCACAATACTGCACCATTGTACAGTACAGCATAGAAAATGTCGACCAGTCAAACCCCTATCATCCCTATCATGGCACCAGCCAAAGGAAAGAAGTATGATGCAAATTTTAAACTGGAAGTTATAAACTTTGCTAAGGAAAATAATAATTGTGCTGCTGCAAGACAATATGGAGTAACAGAAAAGATGGTTCGGGACTAGAAATCAAATGAGAAAGCATTAAAGAGTATGCCAAGGGGTAAGTGTGCATTAAGAAGAGGCACCCCACACTGGCCAGAACTCGAAAAACATGTAGCAGACATGGTGGCTCAACATCGCCAAAACGGTTATGTGGTGACACAAAATACAATACGCTTGTTTGCACTTCAGTGGGCCAAATCAAATCTGATATTGTTTTACCTTTTATTTGGTGTGTGGAAGGTGTGCGGAAGAGGGGGTAGTCTTATACGGCGAGTATATAACAAACTCTGTATTTTGAGTGGAAATGTTAGGGGGTCGTCTTATACGCCCAGTCGTCTTATACGCCGGCAAATACGGTAGCTATCTTTCTTTAGTTTCACAATCTCTGCATTCAAAGTGAAAGGTGTATAATAGTAACTAGTTTAAATGTATCTTTAAGTAATTTTTTAATAATAGATATTGGTAAAAGGAAAAAAATTAAAAATGTTTATTTTTATGTGGTTGTCTCTCCTGAACTGAAAATACTTTTTTTTTTTTTAAGATTTTATTGGGGAATTGGGGGAGGGGAACAGCATTGGGAAATCTCCAGAACAGACAAGTTGCTGTCCTTGTTGGTATTATCATTGCGCTCATTCCGGGTGAGGTAGTCGCTCGCCGGTCATTGGACGGCCACTCACAGTGGCTTATGGCAGCTCATGCCCGCTGCCGGCTGCTCACGCTGGCTGCCAGCCACTCCAGTAGCTCACAGCAGCCCACTGCAGCAGGTGCTGCAGCCTCTGCCGTCACCGGCGACTCACGACAGCCCAGCTCCAGGTTGAGCTGTTGTTCACCATCTTAGTTGTAGAGGGCACAGCATCACTGGCCTGCAGATGGGATCCGAACAGGGACCCTGCTGCTCAGAGCTGGTGTCCCAAGCCAACTCTTAACCAATGCGCTACTCGGCTGGCCCTGAAAATACTTTTGATAAATACAGACAAATGCAGTTTATTACATTCTTATCATAATGGTTAAGTGTTTATAATAGAAATAATTGGTAATTTTTTTTAGTTTTAATTAAAATAATTGAGCCATTATTTGAATCAAAATAAAATCACAATATATAAGAAGGTACTTATAATTCTCTTGTGAAAGGTTTATGAAGAGTGTGCTACGTATTTGGAACTGATTTTGGGAAACAAGAAAGGATAAAATTCTGAGAAGTCTTCATTATAGGATGTCTTTTTTGTTTGAAATTTCTAAGCTTCTTAGGAAAATGAGCACTGTATTTATATTCTTTTTAAAAATTCACTTAAGTATTTATTTTTCTATTTAGATAAGCCATCACAAAATTCAGAAAATGAACAAAATTCTGTTACCCTAGAAGTCCTGCTTGTGAAAGTTTGTCACAAAAAAAGAAAGGTAACATAAAATGATATTGGTAGATTAAGTAATTTTTTAAACTGAATGTTTTCATGCATGTATACTGTGTTTTTAAACCTTGAAAGTTTTTGAATATGTTGTTGCCTGAATTGTAAAACTGATAATTCTTTTGCCAACCTTCCAGATCTTCATGTTTTTTTTCTAATCTGACTATAGGTATATGTGTAAAACTTTCTCCTATAGGAGTCTGACAGTGAAGGGAAAACACTATCTTTTAGCATCTTAACACATAAATTCAGTTACTTCCCTACCACTTCAGTCTCTTAACTTATTTTTTAGCTACTTGTACCCATGAAATTTTAAGTAATGGATAAGGGAGAGTTTTTCCCAAAAGGATTATCTTTCGTGACACTACTCTCAGGCAAAGAAATTCTGTTGCCAGTATTATCAGCCATTAAGTTGTTAATACATGGCTTCAAGTTTTTATTATAAGATGAAATCATTTTCTCATAGAAACAAGTGTTATGATGGTTAAATTTCCTGGGCATCCCACCAGAGCCAACAGATTTACTTTTAGTAGTCTCAAGTTGTTGGGTATTTTAAGAGTAGGAATGACCTGTATGAAGTTCCTATTGCTGATGTTCTTCCAAAATCTTGGTAAGGTGATACGGGGCTTGAAAACTGTGCTAGTGCATTGGTATTGAGTAGACTATGGTGACAGGAAACAGTAGAGTAAGTATGTATTAAAAACCTTAAAGTTAAGAAATATCATTTCCCACACCCACCCAACCCCCATACCCACGTGACAAGCAGTAATGTGAAAATTCTTAAGTATATTGTTTATTTAGGCAAAAATATGTGACTATACCTATAATATCCTTTAGTGTTTCAAAAAAAATAATAGATGTAAACATTTTCTTGGAAGGATATACTACTACTATTGCTCATCTCTGGAGTGTAAGACCTGGGGCATGGGGGACACTTACATTTTCATTTTATACTCTCATGTAGAATAGAATTTCTTTTAGATTATAAACATATATTTATTTTAAAAAGAAGCTAGCACAAAATATGTACTGTATTTTCTTGTTATGAAGGACTTGTGAATCTTCTAATTTTTCAACTATGCTCTTTTGGCATAACTCTAGTTATATAATTACAGAACATTACTCATAAGATGATTAATATTGCCTCTTTAAACATTTAAATATATGAATTTACTATTTCATAATGTTGGTGACAGTGGGGTTATTGTAATTATCTTTTTTCATTTCTATTGGTCCCATCAATTATCTTGTTAAAATAGAAAATTTAAGGAGAAGGATCAGTTTACATGAGTTTAACATTTTAAGCATAGTTTTAATTTCATATTTCTAATTTAAAACTCCGATGACCATCAGTTAAATATTGGATATATCATTTTCAATTTATTAGAGAAATCATCATTTGTGTTAATATTTGGAATATAGTTATTCCAAGTTTTCTTTTTGCTTCATTACAGTCTTCAGAATTTTAGCATGCTATTTGGTAATCACGGCCTATGCACTGTTTCCTGTAGCTGTGATTACAAGTTTTATTGTAATTCTTATTGCATATGTCTAAATAAATATAATTTAATAATCTCTACTTTTACAGGATGTAAGTTGTCCAATAAGGCAAGTTCCTACAGGTAAAAAGCAGGTGCCTTTGAATCCTGACCTCAATCAAACAAAACCTGGAAATTTCCCATCCCTTGCAGTTTCCAGTAATGAATTTGAACCTAGTAACAGCCATATGGTGAAGTCTTACTCATTGCTATTTAGAGTGACTCGTCCGGGAAGAAGAGAGTTTAATGGAATGATTAATGGAGAAACCAATGAAAATATTGGTAATTTTTATTTTAATAATTTTACTAGATTTTGTCATTGAGATTAAGGTGGTCAGTGAAAGTGACTGAACCAGTATATTGTCACATATTCATAATTTTATAATAAGTATTTCTTTTTGAGTTATTACAATAATTTATTTAAGACTTTGACATTCCAAGGAAGAAAATGGTGCAGAACTAGAAATAATTTGCATGTGTTCTAATAGCATGGCCTTGATTTGCAAATCTCTGATAGTCTAATGAGATAATTTTTTGGTAGGTTGCCCAGGCTCTTAGACTGTTGACTGTTGTGCTGTACTAGGTATTTAATTTGTAAAGTTCTCATTAGTTCATGATGAAACATATTTCATGTAGTAAAAAAATAAATTGAATACTGGATGGAAAAGACGGGTATTTCAAATAAGTCTCATTAAACAATAAATCCATTCTGCCACCTGTTGGCAGCTCAGCGGCAGCTCAGCTTGGGCTGGGAATTGAACCGCTGTTGCTCAGAGCTCAAACTCCTGAGTGAGCTCTTAACCAACTGAACCACTTGGCCAGCCCTACCCCCAACATTTTATTGTGGAAAATTTCATACGTACACAACAGGCAAAAGAATTTTATAGTGAATAACTATATCTTCCCCACTTAGATTACGATTAATATTTTATTACACTTGGTTATCACCTACCTATCCCAGTAGTTCTGAATCTACCTTTGAGGTAATCATTTAACCAACCTACAGGTGCTGGGGATACAAAGATGACTAAAACATCCAGTCCTAGCCTCCAAAGGCTCACAACCTAGAGCATGGAGACAGACATAAAATAAATACAGTTGATCCTTGACCAACACAGGTTTGAACTGTGTGGGGTTGTTAATAAGTGGACCTGCGTAATTCAAACCTATGTTGTTCAAGGGTCCATTGTATTTGCAGCAAAATAAGGAGTCACATAACAGGTAAATGTGAAGTTCAGTGGAGAAGCACCTTGGAAGAAATAATCTTTGAAGTTCTTGAATAGTAGCCATGAATGAGGAGGATCATTCTGAACAGAAAATAACATTTACACAAATGTGGGGTTAATGTCAATGAATGTCAAAAAGTAAGGACATACTTGTAAAAACAAAATTTATGAGTGTAAGTCTGGATAGTACATTGCAACGTAAGTGTAATTTGTACCTCATTTGGGATAAATGTAATATGGGACCATCTATCATAAATATGACATTTTTGCTTGAATATTTGATTCATGAGAAATGTTTGTCAAATTCAGATGTCAATGAAGAACTTCCAGCTAGAAGAAAACGAAATCGCGAAGATGGGGAAAAGACATTTGTTGCACAAATGACAGTATTTGATAAAAACAGGTAATGTTGGGACAATCAAGGCTCCCATAATGTTTTAGATATGGTTTTATTCTGAAGCAGAATATAGTGATGATATTATTTCTTTGTTTCTCTTTATTCTTATGACTGAAAAATTATTCTTTATTCTTATGTTGAAAAAACAAATTTGTAATTACTGAGTTTTTCTCTATCACATAGAAAGCAATAAACATAGAGGAGGAACTATTTGAATGGCTCAGTTAAGATTGTTTGTTCGACAATTATTTTCTGAGTGTCTACTGTTTATTGGACACTGTTCTAGGCAGTAAGAAGGGAATAAAATCCAGCTTTCGCAGAGCTTAACTTGTAGTGGAGGACCCCCCCTCCCCCACCCCCATTATATCAAGTGATATCCTTAGTGGTGAGTGCTGTGAAGAAAAAGAATGGTGGTTTTATAGAGGAAAACCTCTGAGAAGGTAATATTTGAGCAGAGACCTGAATGAAGTGGGCCCTGTGCAAATCTTGAGATTTCGTATTTACTAAAATTAAGGAAGAAAATTATATGTAATCATTGTATGGCTCTGTGCATTTGGCCCAGGGTAGCAAAGAACACTTGGATTTATAACCTTGGCAGTTTTCATTTGGGAATGAAGCATCTTAGTGCCAGTAGAAGAGATCTAGGAAGCAAATGCAGCATTCTTTTTGACAACATGGGAGGTGAAACCTATAACATGCCAGGAGTTCTTGTCCCAGGCTACTCACTGTTGGTTAACAGAGCTCACTGTCAGGTGTAGGTGAAAGAGCCAAGAAAAGCAACTAGTATATTCCTTGTACTGTTTAAAAAGTACTGGATTGTTGCTTTAATATAATCACTTATTAGCCACCAAGTAAAGAAAGTTACAAGGCTTTTATAGGAAGGCAAACATGATTAGGAACATAGATTTTGGCTGCCACATTACCTTAGAATGTATAACTTAATGTCATTTAATATTACCACTGGCAGAACCAATATAGTGTCTTTCAGAAATCTGTGGATCAAAGATTTAAATGGAAAACAACAGAAACAAATGTACTAGGAGACAGTGATTATGTCTGTGGGAGAAGCAATTAGAATGTGGCAGAGTGGGTTTCATCAGTGTTGATAAATATTTTAGGCAGCATGGGGACGTACATTGTGGTTTTAAAATTCATTACATATATATTACATATAAATATATTCCTTGTACATATAAAATACTGCTTTTTATTTAATGATAAAATGTACCAAGAAAAAAAACATGGTGGAGAATTTTCCCCAAACTTCTTTTGAAAATTTCCAAACCTATTGAAAGAATAATACAAGTAAATAACACCCATATACCCTTCACTTAGATTCATCAGTAGTTAACATTTTAGCACATTTGCTTTATTTGTAAGTGTGTATTTTGTTTTTTATGGTGAACCATTTGAAAGTTAGATTGTGACACTCTATTTCATTTCTCTTAAACACTTCAGGGTGTATCTCCTAAGAACATTTCCCTGTGTAACTACAATATACTAATCATATTAAGGAAATTTAACATAACAAATATTGGGTTGGCGGAAAAGTCATGACGTATTTTTTCTATGTTTTTCATTGCAAAAATGCGTCATGACTTTTCCGACAACCCAATACAATACTGTCTCCCCAAATGACCCCAATAATGCTCTAAAGCTGTTTCCCCTTCCCCCCAGTTGTGGACTGATCTCATCTATAGTACTTGTCAGTTGCCGTCTCTATTCAGTCTCCTGTAGTTCTGCAATATGTCTCTCAGTTTGGATTTTTGTGGTTGGTTCCTTAATGAATACATCAGGTTAAACATTTTGGGCAGGAACACTACATGGTGACATGTTCTTTGTGCACATCACAAACACACAATATTAGGTTTGATCACTTGATTAAGGTGGTATTTACCATATTTCTCTATTGTAACACTACATTTTCCCTTTAATTAATTAATGTATAATCTCTGTGGTAATACATGAAACTGGGTAAATGTCCTTTTTCTCCCAGCAGCCTTTTATCTAGTAGTTTAGCATTCATTGATGATTCTTGCTTGAATAAATTATTCCTATGTCAGCTGCCAGTTGGTTACTTTCTGTCATTTCTTCCACTTTTATTGGCAGTTTTCTGTAAAGAAGAGCATTCCTTCCCTTAACAACAACAACAAAAAAACAGTATGGATTAACAGATTCCATTTTAATTCAATCTGTTTTAATCAGTTTATGCAGTTACTAAGTTTACTGCTCAGATGTCCCCAATTTGGTCAGGAGGAGCCCCTCTAAGCAGGCTCCTGTGTCCTTTTCCGTACTTATTATTTTGTTTTTCCTTTTTTTCTGGGATTGTCAAGTATTCCAGGCTTACATTTTTTTCTTACCTCTGCTCTGGAATTGGCCGTTTCTTAAAGGAGTCTTGTTTCCTTTTAGTGGCGAAAACGTATTTGAAAGCCAAGGTTTAGGGAGTTAGACATGTAAGAATTCTTTTTATAATCTCACAGAAATTAAAGTCTCCTTAAAGAATAATCAAAATTCAAAAGCCATATAGAAAAAGTGTGAAATATTAAGCAAAATAAAAAACTACTTATGAAAACAAAAAAATAAAACCCATCATAAACCAAAATAAAAATGACAAGTTGGGAAAAATAAACTTACAGATAGCTATCTTGTTTCTTTAGTATGAAAAAAATCATACTAAGTACAAAAACACCTCAGCCCAGTAGATGAGCAAAATACAATAAAAATGTGTACCAAAAAAATACGGTTCTTAAATAATTCATAGGTAAGACATCTGACTATAAAAGTACACTGAGATGCCATTTTTTTCACTTACCGGTTTAGCTGAGATCAAAAAACTTGATAAAGCACTATTGATGAGGCTGTGAGGAAAAAGGGCTTCCTCATACATTACAGGTAGGAGAGTAAATTGGATTGAACCTATCAAATGTGCAGTCATATAATAGAATATTATGTAGCCATGTAAATGCATGAGGGAAGCTCCTTTTCAGTTTAGAAGTGTATGAATGTATTACCTATTCAAATAAAGAATAAAATCAGCTTTTGGAAATATTAAGTTGAATAGCTTTGCGATATACTATTGAAGTCAAATGAATTCAGTTAACATAGCATAAAGACAAAAATACCTAAGTCTCAAAATCATTTGATGTTAAGAATCTTTGGAGACAGACTACCTGGATTCAGTTGCTAGCTCTGGTTAATTACTCTATCATCTTTAGGCAAGTTACTTAACCTCTTTGTGCTTCATTTTTCTCTTTTGAAAAACTAGAGTAATAGCAACTCCTTCACAGAGCTATTGGGAAGATTAAATGAACTGTGCAAATCTTTAAAATAGTGCCTGGCACATTGTAAGCACTCAATAAATGTTAGCTATTGTCACCTAACAGAATTGATGAAGAGAAGCCAAATTCTTGGTAATACAATTATTGAGCATGGTTGAAGAATGGTGTCTAGGGTAGTAGTGTTACCAGTGTTTAAAAGTATGGAAAAAATTATATGCGCACACATATATGTACATACATATTAAAACTATACTGCAGGGCCGGCCGAGTGGCTCAGTTGGTTAAGAGCTCGCTCAAGAGTTTGAGCTCTGAGCAACAGCGGTTCGAGTCCAGCCCGAGCTGAGCAGCCGCTGAGCTGCCAACAGGTAGCAGGATGACTCAGCTAAAAAAAACACAAAAAACTATACTGCAGATAAGTGTATAATTTGATTCTTTGATTCAACTGTTATTTATTCATCCATGAAATGTTTATTGAGCACCTATATGTGCCAGGTGCCCCCAGAATCTTATAGAGTCATCATTACAATCATAAATTAGATTACTGGTCAAGTATAAAAGTCAAGAATTCTAGTTCAAATATTTACAATAGTTTAACAGAGGCATAATTCTTAATGGTTCCATAAGGCAAGTATTGTAACACTGTTGTTAACACATTTTTAAAAGTATAAAGCCTGCACACATGCTTTATACTTAATGTTTAAAACTTACTAAGTTTTGAGATCTTAGGGATATTGTACTTCAAATGTTTAAAGTTATATCAGAGTAACTACATTAATGAAGTAATTTTCTAGTAATAATAGTTATAAGTGCAAGTAATTAAAATTGCTTTTGTCAAGAATGGAGTGTAGGTGTCTTTAAAAATTTTTTTGATATATAAGCTAGTTTATAAATTTAATGCTTTTTAGTATAAATCTAAAGATGTAGAATTTGTGTACTTATAATATATATAGGTTACTTTAAAGTGTATGTGTTTGTCTAACAGGCGCTTACAGCTTTTAGATGGGGAGTATGAAGTAGCCATGCAGGAAATGGAAGAATGTCCGATAAGCAAGAAAAGAGCAACATGGGAGACTATTCTTGATGGGAAGGTATGGACCGCTTAGAAGGCTGAGCACATTTTAGTTATGAACTCCCATTTTTGATTGATGTTTTCGTCCCCAAATGCAATTTCATGTTGGAAGTAGAGTCCTTTGTTTTTATACTTTGAAAAACACAACTAAAATTATCTGGTCACAGTATTCAGTGGAAGGCATCGTCCTTGGAGCCAGAGCAGGTTCAGATCTCCACTCCTAGCTATGGGGCATCTGGCAAATTACTTAAGCTTTGTGTCTCAGTTTTCTCATCTGTAAAATGAGGCATAGAATTAATGGCTTAAATGAAATAATTAATGAAATATGTTTTTAGCATTGTGCCTGGCATAAAATAAGTGCTCAATAAATATTAACTGCTATTTTAAATCCCATTCATAGTAACAGCAGATAATATGACTAGTAATAAATTTATAAAGAAATCTGCAGAACTTACATGAAATGAAGCACACTTAAAATAACTTCTAAGAGACTTAAAAGAACAAAAAGGCATACATACATTTCTTGAATAGGCAGACTCAACAGAATAACATCATTTCTAAATATATATTAGGTCAGTGTACTACCACAAGCAAAAACCTAAAAGGATTTTTTTAAGCCTTAAAATTAGTTTCAAGTTAACCTAGAAAAATATGTAATAATACTAAGGAAAATTATGCAAAGAACTTAAATTGCATGGTGTATACATAGGAATAGACAAGCATATCACTGACACATCCTGAAATAGTTTCATACATTTGGAATTTAGTCATGGTAAAATAGGTGTTAGATAGGTGTAGGAAAGAAAGAATGACTGTTAGTTAATTGTGACGAAATTGGTCTCTAGTCATCTGGAAATAAACTTAGATCTAATAAATTTCAGGAGGCTCATAAATGCAAATGTAAAAATTAACAATATAGAACTACAGAAAAAAATGAGTATTAATATAATCTTGCTATGAGGAAAGCCATTCTAAGTATGATAGAATAGCAAGAAAGCATTAAATAAAAAATGAATAAAGTGAATAATTTCTATACTGCTAAAATCTAAATTTAAAAACAAATGATAGACTAGGGAAAATATTTGTAACATACAAAAGGCTAATTTATTAATACATAGTTTTACAAATCAATTAGATAAAGATAAGCAATCTATTGAGTCATAATGAAAGTCATGACGTATTTTTCTGTTTTTCTTTTTTCTTTTTTTTTAAGATTTTTATTGCGGAATTGGGGGGATGGGAACAGTGCTGGGGAATTGGGGAAGGGGAACAGACAAGTTGTGTCGTTTTTGTTCTACAGTCTAGTTGTGGAGGACGTTGCTTCACTGGCCCAAGTTGGCACCATCATCGCGCTCTTCCCGGGCGAGGCAGATCAGT